TACGGTACTATGCAATGGTTTGTTGTACGAAATTTATCAAAAAAATTTTATCAGTTTGAATTAAATGATCGATTTTAATCCAACTGCAAAAGTAGTCAAATTCTTATATCATCTTTCAATATATTTGGCTCTATCGTTCTTGTTTTATGATTTCAATAATGCTTTCTCACCTGTAAAACCAGTCATTAGGCCCAAACCTATCGTTTCTGGATTCATGGCAGTCTTTGTTTCGTTTTGGTAATCCAAAATAGATGTTGTTCAATACAGGTATTATGCTACACAGGTAATTTCATTTTTAATAAAAGGGAATCCATCAGTGGCAAAACGCGCATCCTGAATTCTTATTCGTGCTGTTCTAATTTTTAAAGTTAATTATTATTAAATTAAGTTATTTTCGAACTTAATTTTATCCATTGTTTTTCTAGAAATGTGTTAATCGATGCGTAATTATTTCTGACCTTTTTGTTGTTATGAAAAATGAGCTACAATAAGAAGGCTTTTAAGGATAGTTTAAGTTTTTAAGTCAAAGAAGATGAGTGTTCGATATAAAAACTGTTAATGACAAGAGCAAAATATAGCCTCTGAGATTCAAACTTTACCAGAACTGTTGGAATCAACAAAAGGGATAGCTAGTTCCTGTAGCCTGTAAGAGGAAAATCTCTGATCTCAAAACAAGGCAGCTGATGGCTTTTAATTCATGGCATACAGCCAGTCTGTTAACTGCAAGAATAGTGGTACGGGCAAGTACAACACTATACGCAAGTACAGCACTCCGCGATACTATCAAAAACTTACCCAGAGAGCCAGTTAACGCTGGATGAACTTATTGCTTATAAAACAGTAAATGGGTAGCGATAATATGCAATAAGCAGAACGGATAAACCGTGTGCTCAAATGTGTTAAACAAAAAGAGAGAAAGATAACCACAAAAGGATTAGAAAATTAAAAGAAACATTTAAAAGAATCGAGACAAATTGTTGTAGAATGTGATTAACATGAGGAAAGTTAGGATACAGGCAACAAGAAGGAAGATAAAATTAAAGAATACGAAAGTAACAAAAGTAGAACTGCTCATAGAAAAGAAATGTGTCTTCAAGAACTACGTTACAAAAAGACGAAGTTGGAGGAAATTAGGACAACATGCAGAGAAAACTGGAACAATAGAATGTGGATGAAAGGAGATGGGTATAAAATTGAAAATTAGCAGATCTTTTACAAACCAGCACAATGTTAAAGAGAGAAAATTTTTGTACGTCGAAACTATTTTCGCAAAAATGAAACGAACATGCCTTAAAAGAATTTCATAAAAATTGTTATAGTAATATCAATCGATGTAGAAGAATCGAATTGAAAATCAACCAAAATGAGTTGTAGACACTGATCACTGATTCACCAATCATTAAGAAATGAATGTGTTAACTCTTGTGACTAATCAAACTAACTTGAGCATGCTATTATTTTTATTGGTATAATAGATCACAGACAAATAGTGACATAATTGTTCAACACCATGCATTCTTAAAGCAACCTAAACTACGAAAAATCGAGGTCTTTCGTTGCCATGCCTTATATTATTTGCAAATTTGCTGTCAAACAAAGCAAGATATGTACTTTGTGAAAATACTTAAAATGTCTACAGCTACCATCACTGCTGCTATGTCCGCCATATATTAGCCATGAAAACAATTTGATTTTTGTCGTTTTTGATTTACGACACACAACGGTGTAGTTATTTTTCCAAGAACTATCTGAAATATGTATTATATCTTCATAGATATATAGTTTTATGGTATAAAATAATGAAAATGCTACGCAACATAGAAATCATGCCTAGAAATAAAAATAATTTGTAGTTTATGTCGATGTCTATCAAATGTTATATGATTTTGCATTGCGGCGAACCAACTTTTTCAAATATTAAGGTCACTACATTTAAATGAGGCAAAGAAAGTTAGGGTCGATAAGTGCCAAAAAAACTAACTAATCCCAGCTGGCAAAATCACGTTGTCTCAACGTTGTACCAACGTTCGTCCAACGTTGACTCATCGTCGGGGACCAACGTTGAGTGAACGTTTTTTGTGAACTCGTAGGAACGTGGTGGCGACGTTAGGATGAACGTTGGGATGTAACGTATTTTCAACCTGAACCCGACGCTTATACAACGTTCATACAACGTTTATCCGACGTTCATACAACATATATCACACTTTCATACAACGTTTACCTGACGTTTATCCGACGTTCATTTAACATACAATTAATAATGCATTATTTGTTAAATCATAAAACAGCCTTTCCAATGATACGAACCAAAGTTTAATTTCCATGTAATCAACTTTTAATTCATCTATTTTGCTGCGCGTGTTTTAATATACATATTTACAAAAATGCTAATCAAGCCGATTCAAATAAGTTGCCTTTTCGGACCTGCAAGAAAATAACATATATGATTATTAGAAAATGGTAGTCTATATATAATTTTTATATGTCTTACCATCTACAACAACATTGATATATTTGTCTGTAAGAGATGCCATTTAAATGGAAAACTGAATCGTCTGCTGTATGTATATCTTCTTAATTTAATTTATATAAACATATGGATCAAAGCAATCGAATAAATCCACTTATATGAATGCCACTACGTACGTACGTCGGATATAAGAAATGATCTCGCGCTACAAAGTCATCTTATACGCACGAGAAACAAAACAAGTGAACAAAACTTTAATCGTTACGGCACCTTTTTCACATTTAACCAACATTTGCTTTTTTATACAAATAATAAAACAATTAATGAATGGAGTTTTCACCTAATATAAAGAATTATCAAGGCATCAATGTGTTCTATCTGCCTCAGTGTAGGCAGATTGAACAAAACTTGGCTCAATGAAGACTCATAAGTCTTAATTCATATACTATTTCATTCATTAGTTGTTTAATATCACGCTAAACAAATTGTATATAATAAATATAATCATGCAGTTTGAGTTAACAAAATTTAAAACTTGCACAAATCTAATACCTGCACTAAAATGAACGTTTTTAAAGGTACACATTATGTATATGTGTCCATTCCATTTTGCTTTACTTATAATTGAAGGAAAATGAAAGACACATGATCACTTTCTTTAAGTGCACATGCCAATAATGTTATTGTGTATTCTTCACCATTTACACAGACAAGAAAATACTAATATGTTAACTATGAGATTACGGAGTAAAATAAGTTGAGTTCTCCTTAAGTTGAGAAAATCAAACAAAGAAAAAATGGCATCCATATACTTCACCCAGCAATCTATGATAATGACATGTTACCTTAAATCTGGAACCACCTTGCTTGCCTGGAGCATATTTTAAAATTTCGGCAATTTGCTCTTCAACGTTTGCCTCGCTGCAACCTTTATGAGCTCTGGGGCAGGCTTCTAACAAGTGAAACGAAACAGAAAAGACATACTTTAAATTAATTGCATATATAAAACACTAAATCATTCTCGTAAGCTGAATGATAAAAAACCATTCATTATAGTGACATATGCAAAACAGTTTAATGTATTAGCTTTTAAAACTTGCAACAATATTCCTTGTGACAAGGAGCAACATAAATGGCTGTTTTTCCAATTCATGAACGAGAAAAAAGAGACAAAACATGGTACTGCTGCAGCAATCATTATCGCCCAATTGTGCTTACTTGTTATAACTTTGTAAAGGGCAAGGTGCTGAAATGGTCGCTTTGACTTTCTGCCTTTTAAACTATATTCGGACAATAGATTATTTGTTCTCAGCTTTGTCATAACTCTTCTAACACTGTTTGCACAGGTGTTTGCGCACAGTGCTACCAAAAACTGCAGCTAGTAAAGAAAGTAAACGATAAATTATAAGGAAAAGTTAAATTTAGACATATATAACCATTTTAATCTTGAATCGAAAAAAAACCATCCAAAGTGAATGGTCAGAGCTTTTAGAAAGACCAGCTTCTTCGTTAAAATTTTTCAGCAAAAATAAAACGACACACTCCTAAGAGCCGTTTGAAGTATCGTAACGTATTTAAATCAATCAGAACACGACAATGCTCTCACGAAAAACACGATGCTAGATTCATATAGTTTAATCAGATAATCTGACCCCTAACGTCACGAAAATCGTCATTAAAATTACGTTTCAGACTTTGACAAACGTGCATGTTTTCAAGCTTCAAACACAAATGGTAGAAAAAGTCAATATTATGTTACGTAATTGCAAATGAAACTATCGTCTTCACGTTTCCAAACCGATAAAGGGAAGGGCTATGCCTTCCTTTGTCACATATTTTACGTAACACTTGAAAGAGTCATGCATAAAAATAGGCGGTGCCAATAAATATTACTAAATACTTATGGGTGGTTAACTTTCCAAAACTTACCAACTTTCTTTTGGACTTTTCTTCATCAAGACTAGAGGATAGGTCCTCAAGTTCTTCAACCAAATCTAAGGGATTAGGTACAACATCTTTCAAAATTTCGTGCTCGTCTACACCTTTCGTAGCGCTTAACAGAGCACGCAATATTGACAACGCTTCTTCTTGCTTATCAATTAATGTTTCCAGTTTGGTGAGAACTTATCTTTGGAAGCCTACAAGATAGATAAGAAAATAATAGAATAACTTATGTACAACATACGTAATATCTTAAAAATATAAAACCTTAAAACATGCTAAAAAGAAAATTCAAAGAAAAACTCGCATCAAATTGCTAATTGAATACGCATACATAATAACAACGCTATTCAAAACCTATATACTGTAGAAAAGGTACCATTAATGTTTGGTTGAGAACGTCTTCCTGCAGGTGTTATGTTCATAAAACTTGTCGAAGGCGTTTCGTGCGATGAAAGGTCATGCGCATCTGCAAAGCAATCACGTGTTGCAGTTAGTTGTGAAAAAAAAACATTTCAAACGACACGAAATGAACGTAAATGAAAATGTAATAACATAACATGCAATAAGAAAAGCTTGCCTAAGACAACTAGCTGCAGTTTTTGGTAGCACTGTGCGCAAACACCTGTGCAAACATCGTTGAAAAAGTCTTTCTCTTGTGCCAGTTGTAGGAATTCTTTGTGATGAAACGTTGCTTGTATCTACAGAGAAGACACGTACTGGGTTTAACATATATCTTTATTGCACGCACCAAAGTCATTTAAATTAAGGCACTACAAGTTTCAAAAGTCAGAAACAGAAAGTTGACTAAAATCAAAACCTCGAGAAAAGTTTCATTTAATAGTTGGATAGCAAACGCTGAGAATTAGATTTGAAGGAATGTATTTTGATTAAATCGTGGTGAACACAACTGCAATTTTAACTATAACCAACATTTTTCCAACTAATTATAACAATATCTTAAAGGACCAACGCCTACAGTACCTGTATAACATACATAAGCCCTATAATGCAACGATGGGCGTAGAAAAACAGTAAATGTACATTACGAATGTTAAAATTGTTTAAAATAAATCAATAAAATTATTTCAACATTTTAGTCGACATATTATATGAAAGTTGCTGATTAGTCAGTTCTGATGACAGAAAACTTACCACTACGCTGAAATGCTGTCCTACTAGTAGATGGGGGAAGTTATTGCATTATCCTTTGTGCTTAGGATTTCTGGTGCTAGTTCACCGTCATATAAATCTAGATCAACATTATATTAGGATGAAAAGAGAAATTTCATACATGCATGTTTCTGCCAAAAAATTGTTCACTTGTACAAGGATTATAATTGCATTCATACCTTTTTCTGCAAAGGGAGATCAGCTCGTTGTACACCGGCAAATCTAAAAAGCAAAATCACTCATTAGTTTTAAATGCAACATAGCAATATGTGACAAACTGTACTCCTTTGAATAAAGCAATGGCCTATTGCATTGCAATTACAGTGCTTACTTCAAGAATTTGTTGATAAGACTTCATTGACGGGTGTTATCATATTTCTTTCAGAAGATTCCAATAAATGCTTATTGTTTAAACAAAAAGATGCGTAACGTGGAGAAGGAGGTAACTGAGGGGCTGTGTGTTGAATTACGGGTTCATCACTGTCATCATCGTCTGATGCGAAAAAATACCTGGTCATCGGATAAAAATGTTTATTGAGTACTCAAGCTATACTAAAAATACTAAAATATGGTTAGTTTAATGCTTGCCAAAGATGTAATGTTTAAGTAGCTACGCAATACATTCAGAATTAAACCTACCTTTTCCCATCTTAAGGAAGAAGACATAGCCAAATTCAAAGAACTTATTGTGTTTCAAACACAAGACCCTTCATTGACTACAGCCATATACGCACGTAGGTAGTTATAACAATAGAAAAAAAACTTTTCTGTGTTACTGTGTATGTAAGTTGTTGTGATCGCAGAGAAATATTTAGAAGACTATATAGCCTACGTTCTATGTCACTGTAATATGAAAATTCTTCCATACTCCTTTTGAGAGGAGGACGTTTTCGTGGCTTGTCGTTCATTGACTCATCGTCGTTGATCGATTCAATGTTTGAAGTGGCAATGGCTCTTCTAGCAAACGTTTGGGCACTTTAAAAGTTGTCTAAGTAAAAGAAAGGTTCAAATTTAGAAAACATAGCATTAAATTGTTTATAGCACTTTTGAGGCTTCAGTGGAGAAAATGTGAAACAGTTGGCAGCAAGTTTATAAAAAATTCTGAAAATAAAAAATTCCTACACCAGACATAGCAATGATTATTTACAATCAAAATGGAAATAACTGGAAATCGAAAACAAATGTAACTTAAATGAAAAATTAATACTATAATCACAAGACATCATATTAACCTGCAAATGTAAATATTTTGACTTTATGTTTTTTCCAACCATTTTTGTCCGGCAGCAATTCCAGCTTCTTTATTCTAGCTGAGACATTTGTCATTGGCCAATAGCAACACAAAACCTAAAGTGTAATTAAATGAAAGTTAGTTGCATTGACCTGTATGTATAAACTCAGGAAGATCTTTAAGATATGCCATATTACAATCTTTGTCCTTTACAGATTATAACATGTGATTGTGACTTATATCAATCTTCAAATGTAGATATGCATAGCACATACTTTCAGTAACAAGCACATAAATACATGTAAAAATAAATCATTGAACAATATTGCATAAAAACAACTTTCAAAGAGAAAGAACTTTGTTTAGGACTGGCAATGATTTGAGATGATTTTTGTAAAGGTTGTAAATGTTCAAGGTCATTATCAAAAACATTATTGAACAGATTACTACAGCCATCATCATTAGGCATTGCATCACTGCATCTTAAAGCTCTAGTAGCAGAAGTCCAGTTTTTTCCATATTGTGCTCAGTTACATTTCATTATGATATGAACTAAAATAAATAATAAAATGTAACTGTCTATTTATTTTTAATTCATTTAAACATATTCTAATGTTACAACCCATTCCCTCTAAGTGCTGGTGATCACAACATTTAGCAAAATGTTTTAATCAAAAAACGATGAGTATCATTCACAGGTCATGGTAACTTATATGTCTCCTTAACCATTTGTAACTTATTCTCTTCTTTACATGCATGTATCATATCTAATTTATACATAACCTTAAAATTTTAAGTATAACACTATAGTTTACTTGCTAACAAAAGCAAATGGAAAATGTTCTAAGCAACTAAGTAAAAATAATCAACTGACATTGCAAGCTTACAAAAGGAATAGGCTAAGTTAATAAACCAATCTAAGAGATAAAAAAGTGGGTTGTAAACAGCATATTGTCTTGATTGGTATAGTCCTGAGAAGGACTGTTTTTGTTAGACTGACGTTTCGACAACCTTAGCAGTAGTCATCTTCAGAGTTCATGACAGTCATCGTCCAAATGATCGTAATAAAGTAAATGGTTTGAACCCGAGAGTATCGTTACATGTTTGTAAATGATGATCATCCAGTTTGGTATAGTCATGAGAAGAGCTGGAGGACACTCCTCATTTGACTCTGAAGATGACTACTGCTAAGGTTTGCGAAACGTCAGTCAACAACAACAAAAACAGTCCTTCTCAGGACTATACCAACCTGGACGATCTACATTTACAAACATGTAACAATACTCCCGGGTTCAAACCATTTACTTTATATTGTCTTGAATGCAATAAATGGACAAATGATACTTACTAGTAATATAAAGCAACCATGCATTGTTATGAATAAACATTCAATTACCTCTTCGTAAAATTATATCAATGTTTAAAAACTGCTGTGATTTGCAATAGAAACTACAACTATTTTAAGGTTTTAGGCTACAGGATTCTTAATCAAAAAAATTTTGTAAATCACATAATCACATAACCTCATGTTAAAAAATACTCATCATCACAGACGTATACATCATAAAAAGCTTTGAGTTTAATGTTATAAAAAAACCAAAAAATTAACAAAGTTTTCGTTGAAACAATGGAAAATTGAGGCTATAGTAAGGTGCACCAATTATAAAATCATATTTGTTAAATGTGCACTTCAATAAGCCAATAACCCGCAGGCTTTTCTGAATTTTGGCGATCAATAATTGGCCTTATCACAAAAGATAAAAAAAATTGGCCTTTCTTAATAATGAGAACTAATTGCCTGTCAAAATCATTTAAAGAGCCTAGAAAGCTACATGAACAACGTAGCACACAAATTTGTTGTTTTACGCATTTATCATCAATCCATCATATACATTTCAACCATTTTTTGTCGATTTGGATCATTCGAATTTTAAACCTTTTTTGTGCTTATCAACTCTTGTATACTATATTTAACAAACGGTAATGGCAAATCGACAATGGCATTATAAGACCTTCATTGTACTTCATTGTCTTTGTTCAACAATAACTACAATATCTAAACAAATAAAATTTCACCTTACTTTGATCACGTTACAATATAGCAGCACTTGTTCCAAAACACCGTTTCTTGCTAAAGTTCTGCTAAGAATAAGAAATAAAACGGGTCAACCGTCAACCATTGATAGCGAAATCGTGTTACACGTGAATAAACATGTTGAATTATTCCTTGCCCAAGTTCTGTGTTTATTTAAACAAAATCAAAATAGCATGTACTTACGATGAAAACGTTGACCAGCTCGTTCTTGAATGTGCTGTATCAAATGTATATTCTTTCTTGGGTGAAAAATATTAATAGCTGAAGATCGACTTGCCACTTGTAATGAAGTATACAGAAGACACGTGCAAAATAGTTTTCTGAGCCCGCAAATTTCCTTAACGTCTACAACGATTCACGTTTCTTTTATTGCATATTTCGCCAACTGTGTCGTATCGGTCGCATCTGCGTCATAACGTTATCAAACTATAAATTAAAATTGATTTTTTATTAACGCTGACACAGCGAACGCATATTGATATAAATGTTCAGAAAAAACGACCGACGTGATTTTTATATTCGACATTGATACAACGTTAAATGCAACGCACTACGTAAACATGAAAGAACAGGAGTTGACGTTAATCGTAACGTTTAACCAACGTTCATATCACGTTAGACATAAACGAAGCTGTGACCAAAAAATCACCTTAATCTAACCTTCATCTTTACGTTTAGACAACGTTTATACAACGTTAGACGTTAACAACGCTGGCGACCAAAAAATCACTTTAATCTAACGTTCATCTTAACGTTAAACCGACGTTGAAACAACGTCAGACAATAACGACGGGCACGCAACCAAAAAATCACTTTAATCTAACGTTCATCTTAAACGTTTGACCGACGTTGAAAGAACGTCAGACAATGACGTTATAACATAACTTCCTTACCTAATGTTAATGTCAATGTTCAACCAACGTTGACACAACGTGGTTAAAATTTGAATAAGAAAAACAACGTGGTAAGAACGTTGTAATAACGTTATGTCATAACGTAACGTAAATACAACCTTCAGCCAACGTTAAGAAAGCGTTGTGTGCTACGTGGGATTTATGTATCTCACGCATTTTATCTTATTGTCATCCTGGTGCTCTAAACTATAATGATATGCAATAAAAATGGGGAGAGGTGAAAATCATTGTATTGTTTAAAAATGAAAGTATCTGGCTTGATTTGGATTATTCTAAACGCGACGCTTTAACAATAGAGCAGGTGTTTGATGTGAAAGAGTTTCAAAGCACAGTTTGTTTCGGTTTTGTTTTTCAAATTTAAATAAATGTGCAAGGTATGCAAGCCAGTATAATGTCACTAAATCACACTAGAATTGTCTCCAATCATCTTGAATATATTGTTCTGTACAGTTTTGCTAGTGCATTTTCTTGGCTATACGCTTCTACTATCAACTGTTCTGCTGTTGAGCAACAGCACAACGTTTATAGCGCTGTATGTATCTTTGTTTTACACGCTAAGCAAACTTTTCCCTTTTTTCTAACTTTATGTAATAAGAGAGTAGCATCAAATGGAAAATTGTTCGATTTTGTATTCGTATTGATGATCTCGACCTATACATTAATGGATTTGAATGTGTTTGACTGCGACATTTCATGAAAACTGTCCTTTGTTACAATTATCGTCTGCCGTTATTTTTACAATAATGTGAATTATGTTCAATTATATTGAAAAGCTTACCTTTTATTTGAAGTTTCCTTTCGGTTCTGTGAACAACTGCTCTTAAGTGTTTGGTATCATGTCACTGAGTAACGTTACGTGTGGCATGTGAGTCTCTTTTTGTTCGTCAATTCCGCTTTATCATTGGTCTCTTTTTCATGCCAGGTTGTTATGGTTACAGTCTAGGAATAATCAGTGCGTCTATCCTTGCACAAAATGCTAATGTGATTGATACCTGCCATTGTAGATCGATACTAAATAGTCACTGACAATAATATTTGTCATCTCCCCCTGTAGCATTGCAATGTTAGATTCTTTTCTATAGGGTGTATCAAAGAATATTGAACATATCTGAAAACGTCATTGAAGCCAACAGCGCGCTAGAGTTGGTAGAACTTTTGGTTGAAATTGTTATAGTTAGACTTCCAATGCTTTATCTGATAGTAAAATTGTGAAAAAATAATGTTTTTAAAATGAAACTTTTGTTACAATGAAGCACTTTGAAGTAGCTTGCGCATGTAAATGACAAAGCTAAAAAGCAATTGCAACACATGAGCTTAGAATATGGCAGATGTTGTTAAAGATATCAAACTTTAGAAATTGTGGCATAAGCGTACGCTTAACGCTTAGGCTTTTCAAATTGCGGATTATTTTGAATTTTTGCTTTTCAAATGTCATTTTTATATAAAACTCATCAATTATGCATAAATTTGATTTCGAATTAGTGCAAACATAAATACTTGGTTTTAAAAATGACGTTTAAGAAGAAAAACGCAAAATAGTCCACGATTTCGATGTCTGGCGCTCGCGTACGCTATAGCCAAATTACTCAAAACTTTGTCAAAGTTTATACAACATGATTATATTTTAACACTATGGGTTACAATTGCTTTTTAGCATTGTTGCTTTTGTGCGCAAGCTATTTCAAAAGTGCTTGTCCTTAAACAAATTTCTCATTCAAAGAATGGTTAATATTTGTGACAATTTTACGGTCAGATGTAACACAGGAAGTCCAACTATCTATTCTCTCACAGGTTTTTTGCATATCTTGCGCGCCGATCACTTAAGCGAAGTTTTCCTTACTGATCAATTTTTTTATGCATCCTGTATAGCACCAATAAACCATGGTTAAAGCCATGTTAAAGCTTACATTTAATTTACACTATACATCATTTAAACTTGAATGCGTGTAACATTCATGACTTTTTATTTGTAAAGGCTTCACAATTTTTTAGGCAAAATTGTACGGCAGAAATGGTTAAGACTCTTTATTTCGCAGAGCTTTCTCGGTAAGTTAATAGCTTGCATTCAACCTTAAAATGTGTGTAATGGTCATATATCAGATTTTCACTCTATTCTAATGCAAATTTGAAGCGGTGTTAACTTACATTCTTGGAAGTGAAAAAATATATTATTGATCTTAGAGCACAAATATTTCATCACATCTTACTTTTATATTACGAAAATTCTCAAAAATTTTATTTATGAGAAACTGGTAAAACCTGTACGAAATACGGTTTGAAGATATTCCAAAAGAATTAAAGTGGCAGCCTTTCACCAGTGTTATAAAGTCGAATTTTATTTGCAAAATGAAAAATTAAAATAATCACATCATCAATTTCCAATAGGTTTGAAATTAGTATTAATGACAGGTGCGACCTTAGAAACAACAATAGCAATTCCAAACTTGAAAACCCCCATACAATTTACATCAAAAACAGTTTTAGCTACTCAGCTACATAACTTTAGAATGGTTTACAGATCACACAATAAAAGTAGCTGTACAAGTCGCTGTACCAAAAAAGTGTCGTTTCCTTGTTTATAATGGTGACTGTACTTTATGTCAAAAGATTTCCAACCTTCTTAATTCCGCCATTTAGATAAGAAAACGGTAAAGTTATTTTATATTTGCATATGTAACTTTAAACATTAAAATTTGAAATAAATAACCTCTACAGAGGAGAGGCTTAATTAGGTACGTAAATGACTTTACTAATTGTCAGCACAATTGCACCATAGTGACGTTAATTTTAAGAAAAGCATTACACTAAAGAACTTTAAATAAAACCGATGAAACAATTTGCCAAATTTATAACATTGTTTAATTTGAAAGGATAGTTCGATACATGTGCTAGTGTGCCATATTATAATTTCACGTGATACATTTGGGCTTTTAAACCCTACAATATATATATAAATAAATGACGGGCAACTTGATAAATACATGTTAATAAATTGACTTATACGAAAGTGAACTGTGCAAGAAAGTGGAAAAACTTTTCTTTGAAATTTTCTAATCATAATATTTTGCAGCTTGAAGAAGCCTTAGAAAATGGCTTAAAAGCTTTCAAGCCCTGATTGTATTGCAAAAATGTCTTTTCACGAGAGAGTTTATAAATTCTTGTCACTTTTTATCTTCAAATTGAGCAACGATGTTAGCCACTGGACGTTGTTCTGGTTCTTCTATATCAGGATTCTTGGAACTCCCTTCTTGGTTCGACCTCTTGGGGTCTACTGAGCTTTTTGGTGATTTGGATTTTGACCTGTCAACCGTTTTCGTATCCTTTTTTGCTGTAATGCTTTCTTTGAAATTAAGCATGTTCTCAGCAAACTTTTTCGATGAAAAAATGTCATGTATCGTGCCAGGAAAATTTATTTTATTCTTTTTTAGAATCGACTTACTCCTAGCAATTATGTGCGATACGCATGATTCCTCTAGGGCAAAGCTTTTTTTTAAATGAAGTACACGCTCTTTTGTAACCAAAGCCACCTTTCTGTTAGCGTGCTGAACAAGACGAGACTTATCGTTGAACATGCCTGAGTCGTATTCTGTTTTCATCAGCACGAGCGACAACTGATGTTTCTTAGTTACAGTAGAGAAAATCTCGACCACTAACTTTGAATCAATTTCACTGAAGTAGTAACCTGTTATGGTGTCGATTTTGGGTGTATAAATTACTTCATCATACGATCTGATTTCTTTCAGAATTGGGTTGAACTTCACGACTTTTATTTGGTCACCTTCTATGTTGTAGGTGAGGAGCTTATGAAATTTTCGAAAACGCTCCTCTCGGAATACTATGATTGCTATTATGTTATCAGAAGAAACAGAGAAAGTTTTCATCTCACCAAAGATTAAAGAAGGTTCACCTTTTTCCTTCAACTCCTTCAAAAAGAGTTCACCATCTTTGTGACATCCACACACGGTGATATTGCTCTGGTCACCTTCAACAAATGCAACAACAATTCTTTCATCTTGTGTTACGGCCATGAACAGATTTCGTGCCTCTTTGTTGTCTAGGAACTTTAATGTAGACTGTTGGAAAGTACCGTCTTGTGAAAAGATTGTCAATAGATATTTCCAAGTCTTTTTACGTCCATAACCAGAAAGAACATATACCACGCCATTGTTATCAACTGTCATGCATCTAATCTGCCAATCATCAATCTTGTAATTTTCTTCACACCACGGTTGAAGCTCTCCTGTTTCACTGTCGATTTTTTGGAGATTTTTTCCAGAAAAAATCAGCATTTCTCCTTTGTTGGTTAATGTGATTTCTTTGTCGACAAATAGGTCACTTTCATCCATGCAAAAATTATATTCGTGCCAAGGTGTTGAGGAACTCGTGATTCCTTCAACTTCTTTAAAATACAAAGGATGAAATATTTTCTCGCCACATTTAATCAATGGCCAATCAAGAACTGCGTAACGTATGGATGGGTTGTTGGAAATGAAATCGGCCAATAATAAATTGATCATTATTACATTATCAACGTTTTTGTCTTTTTTGGAAAGATCGCTCATTTTTGAAAACATCTTTCCAATTTCGGGAAATGAATGTAATTCCTTTAAGTATACCATAGAATCCTTTTTTGCTGCCTTGCTATCATTATAGTGTCGTAGGATAGAACTTGCGATGCAAATCCAGCACGCTACTATTCTTTCTTCAATTTTTAATGACTCATTGTGAAATGCGTTGCTTGCTTCTTTGACTGCCTCTATAAACGATTCTTTAGCCGACTTTATTCGCTCGTGTTGTCGTGACTCTGATTCTTCGTTTATAGTTGACTGGGCGAGTTTCAGTCTCTCAATACCTTTTTTGAAATTACTCATGCTACTGTAAAAATCATTTCTTGATATTGCTTTTAATGTGTTTAATTTGCTTTCAATTACACCTGATAATTCCAGTAGTGTTTTCCCACCTTTTGCAAAAACCGTCAACATGCCAAAACCTATCGTTACTGGATCCATTGAGTTTTCTTCTGTTTTTGTTTTGTTTAGTAATCTAAAAAATGTTTTGTAGAATACAGGAATTATAATGTAGAAAAGTTTATTGTTGATCAAAGGACTTCCACTAGTGGCAAAACCATCCCGAATTTTTATTCCTACTATGCAGTTTTTTTAGCTAAGTCATTAATTTCTGTCGTGATTAAATTCATCCCTTTTTTTCTCTCTCTCTCGTTCAGCTGCCAAACTCAAACATATTTGCATGTCAGTAGTTAAAATCGAGCGGGCTTTGTCTCAGGCGTCTCGTTGTAACTTTGATGCACAACGCGTACTTTTTGTATAAAAATATGTCATAGCGTCAAGTAATTTGCACAACTTAGCTCATTTGTGATGTTTTATGAAATGGTTGCAATGACTTGTTCATTAGTACTCTTTATTGTAGGTAAATAATTCACAAATGCGTAAATATTTCTAAATTTCTCATGATGAAAGGATGACAATAATAATAAGGTCCTGTCGAGTTGTTAAAGTTCTGTTAGTCGATTATGATGAGTGTTCAATATCAACAAAAAGTGTCAATGGCAAGCGCAAAATAAAGCCTCTGACAGTTCAACTCCCTGCATTCACGCTGCTGTAGTATTGGAAGCTAACGGGAGGAGCGAAAAGCCAGTATCTGACGTTTTAAAACAAACAGTGCTCTGGTATATTAAGCAAGTAAGACTTGGCAACAGTAACCCTAGGAGAGGGAAAATTTTTGGTTTCATAATCACGGCAGTTGAGGGTCTTTATACATGGCAGGGTGAACAAGAAGAGAGCCCATGAAAACATAACCATGTGCTCCAATGAGGAGAAAAAATGAAGAAAAGATCATAACAGAAGGACAAGAAAATTAAAAGAAAACAATTGAAAGAATTTATATGAATGGATGCGTGATTGTCAAATAAGATTTATTCGTGAAAAGTTAAGAGGAAGGCAACAAGAATGGAAAATGAGATGCGGGGAAAGTTACCGAACACAAACGTAACGAAGATAAGAACTGCTAATGTAAAAGAAATTACCTTGAAGAATTACGGTACCAAAAGATGAAGTTGGAGCAAATAAGAACAAGAGAGAGAAAACCTTTACAATAGAATGTTTATGAGGGGTTGTGTAGTTGAGAATCAAGCGATGCAGACAAACAAATAGCACCAAGATAAGGGCATGAAGTATTGTACATGAAAGCGTTTTTCACGAACAAAAAAATGAAACCAGCACTCCGTACAGAAATTGTATGAAAACAGTTGGCGAAACTCAATGGCAAATGCTGCCATTGAATTATTCAAAATCAATGAAAATAAGTTGTACGAAACAGTCAAGAAGTGGAAAACATGTTTACCTCCTGGAATCAGGGAAGTACTTACTTTCTTGTTTAAAATGGGGGAGAAATGAGGAACGTGCTAGAAAAAAGTTTTTTGAATGGATCGAGCAACCGTAGAGTAAATTAGAATGGGATACTCTCGAAAGAACAGTACTGTTGCCTATATTGTTAAAGGAGTAAGAGACTAAAAACTCGCCTTAATGATTGGTTGTGAAAAGTTTTCTCGGATGTGAGCACGCTAGAAAATGAACGCCAACAAGAAGTTCCCAGAGGCTAGTTGTAAAAATTCTGGAAGTAAATTGAAGTAAATTCTGGAGTTGTGCCTATTGTCGCATATATGGTAAATATGTATAACGTGAAGAAAGAAGACACGGAACAGCTTAATAGGAATGCTCAAATGCACTTAGGGAGCAAGGAAAAGACAAAAGATTTTATATGAAAAAAGTGCAGGTTGAAAAATTGAGATCATAAAATAATACTGGCAGCATGTAGTATGGCAAATCTAACAATGTGTAGATTAAAGTCCCATGAAGAAACGAATTCTTGAAGAGTATCATTGAAAAAATTGTAGAAGAAGCAATGGAAAAAGGTAGAACTTGACATTTGGGATGTGTTATGGGAAGATGCGAATTAAGTGAAGGCTACGTAGATAGAAAGGTTCTATTGAGCTAAATTGAGCAAACAATTGAGGATGGACAATAAAGGATTAAGAGGAAAAGCTTTGGATGAAGTAAATTACAAAGTAAAGTATAAGCAGGATTTGAAGACGACCATTAGGAATAGTTGAAATAAAACAACAATCCAATAAACTCATAACCTTTCTTTGCTCTACAGGAGCACTAGAGGAAAAGGGATCGTTGAAAATAATCAGAGAAATGGGGCATCTAAATAAATGCCGAAGAAGATGGCGGCGGCAGATTGCCTAAGACGACATAGCAGCAACGCTTTGAAAGAGCTTGGCAGTGCAACAGGGCATTTGATAATGGAATGTTGCTGAAGGTGGAAAATACCGTGATTCACTAATACCATGTGGATGGCCACAGGGAAATCTGTGCTTTGCCAAAAAGAGGAAAATAAATGCAATTACCAACCGAAAAATGGTGTACTGGTAAAATTACTAACATATATTATATAAGTATGCGGCTTGTCCAAGAGAACTTGAATAAAGAAATATAAAATACACAAAGGCTTTCATGCTTTGATGTAGCTATACATGAGAATACAAGAATGAGTAAAAAAGCTGACTGGATGATGGCAGCTGGCAATGACTTTCTCGCACACTTGAATACAGTGTATTTGAGAAAAACAATTACTATAATGTGGAATAATTACTTTTTACAAATGCACTTTACTTGACCAAAACAAAATCTCTTTATTACACACACCCCCTGTAATTACCTACATGCAATAATGATGCCCTCGCCGTTCTTAAAGAACATTTTATCATAGTCCTTACAATGTGTTGAAGATGTATCTAATATATTAGACATGTTGTTACTTATCACTTACTTAAAAAAAAAGCAGATGTTTGTTTACGCAAGGAAATTCATTCAGTGGACTAACCGAGAAGCATTAAACCCTTAAGGCATATGTGATGTGGCAACCCTGTTAACTGTTGTTATTGAATGCTGTTTGCATTCTATTGTTTGATAAATTTGTGCAATTTCCGGTGGGCCGTGTTCTTGAACTAAATTTACCTAACGAGTGCTACCCCCACTAAATTCACGAACACAAATATAAAAATAAGATTGAAAGTGGAATATTTGATTTTACATCACCAATTATAAGATCAACGCTTTTGAATATAATTTTTTGCTTTAGAAAATTCATCTGTGTATAAACTTCTACGCCAGAATTTTTATATCACCGTCATGGACATCACTAAATCCCGGCTTTACCGGTCTAAATCTATTACTAAATCCTTTCATGAATGATAAAACCTGTAATATAACCCTTGTCTAGGATTTACATATATCTGTAGCATAATGATGAAATACTGCCGAGTATGCAACATCAATTTATGTAGCTATAAAGTAGTTTCTATGTAGCCAACGCCTCGATTTTTGCATGTATTTTTTTATTGTAATAAAACTAATCACGCTGTTGTTAAAATTTTGAGCAAGTGGAGAGCAGTAAAGTATAAACAGACTGGCTTTTGGAATACGAAACAAACAGCTTAACACAACGCTTTTTTTTGGATAGAGTTAAAGGAAATAGGGACTGGCTTTTAGCTACGGAAAGAAACGTTTGAACCCAATACAATGGACCTATCGCTCTGATACGTGCTCTTAAATGTTTAGTTATGCAATGCAACACTATAAATTCTGTAAAACGTACCGTTACTTTTGCCAGCTATCACTTCTTCACAATTTTTGTCTTGCGTTAGATTACAACCATCAAATGCAGTCGAATACTGTTTTGCAACGTGGATAGCTGCAAACTTAAAAATGTTAACAATTTTTAAATATCTTTGCGGGAGTTAGATATTATAAAAAAATGTTTATTCTCTATGTCAGGAGGGGAGGAATTAGACAGAAAGAATTTCGTTCATGTTTAATTAAATTTTCATAGCTGTTCTCAACATGTTTATGAATCTTATAGTTTAGTTATATTAAAAAAAGAAATCATTAATAGTCATGTAACAAATAGTTCACACATAAGCATATTTAATGTTTGTGTCTTAAATACTTTTCACGAGAATTTTCTCTCTTCTGGTGGCCAATTAAAACTGATTCGAAGGGCATCGTTGCGTGGGAGAGGAGGGCTGCAAAAGAATCCATTGACACACAATCTTTTAAACACCTTACTTTCACTGTTAATGTTTGAAATACATTTCATATCATAAGTTTTTTAAGATTTGTCATGACAGCGTTACTTGTTCTTTATTTATTGATTAAAGAACACAAACATTTGCATTATTATTAGTCAAGATGTCATAGGGGGTTAATAATTAAGTCATGATTCGCGTCGGTGACTTGAAAATTTGATTTTGCGCAACACACAACAACAAACCTACTAAAAATTTATAGTTTGGATAAATTAGTTTATGACTGATAAATTTTGTACGTTTTGATTGCATTTCAAATGAATTCTGGGCATATTAGCAAAATTCGAATGAACATAAGAAAACAATTTTTCACATGTTCATGCCTTCAAATGTGTCAACATTGTATTGACAAGGTTTATTTTGTTGCATCTCGTTTAATATCCTCCGAAGATCTCCAAATAAAAACAGTTAATGCTATTTTCCAACCCGAAGGCCGATATAAATCTTCCAAAAACTTACAAGAAAAATTTATTTGTAACACTTACGCAAGACTATTTAAATTCATATTGTGACAATGACCTAATACACAAGCTATATATAGCCCAGTTGTGGACTGTACACCCACTATATAGGCTGCACACACAATTCAGACTATACAAAGCAAACAAACTATAAACCCGAATTTATTGAGAATGTTCTAGAATCGGTTTCTTGCCAAAATATCCTTTTTCATGTTAGGGTTTTTGAATTTGTTACGATTCCAGATCATTCATGACCAAACAGTGTTTATAGATTAGCGATTTTGAATACTGTGACCTTTGGGACTATAAAGAAAAGCCTAGATAGCACTGTTGAATTTTCAAATTTTTGTGAAAAGATAATCAAAAGTTTTCCTGTTGAAGTATTAGAGTTCCGGTCATGCTTTCTGTAACTTTAGTCATTGGGATAAATGTTGTCATCAAGTGGTATAAAATTTTTGCTAACCATGACATCTGGTCACTAACAGCCGCTTAGAGTTGATGAAACAATCTGCAAAATAACCTACACTATTCGAGTTGAGAGATATATTTGACACATGTTATGGTGTGTATCATTTTCTGATATTATAATTTTATATGGTGCGTTTGGTACATTGAAAGTTTTAAACACTACAATATATTACGGTAACATTGATTGATATACATGTTCATATAAAGAGACCTGTATGAGGGTGGAAAGTGCAAAAAAGTGAGAAAATTTTCCTTAAAAGTTATGTAATCCTAAAATTTATGCGACCTCAAAGCCCAAGCATGACTACTTTGAAGCAATGAAGCTACAAATTGTGCAATAAAAACGTATTGTCACGAGCAGGTTATTGAATTCTTGTGACTTGTTCTCTTCGAATTGAGATGCAAAATTAGACGCCGAACGTCATTTTGATTCCATGGTATCGGGATTCTGGAATCTCCCCTCTGACTTTTTATTCTTGGGTTCTACCAATTTGTCTCTATCAACGGTCATGGAAGAAGTGCTTATGGCGTAACATCTTGGACGAATGTCTAAAGAACATCCTTCACTGAAACTCCTAGGCAATTTTGATTCCGAGCTGTCCTTTGTATTCTTTTCAGTCTTGTTAAGGCCCCGGTCAGTAAACGTAAGCATGGAATCAGGATTTTTTTTTGCTGATAAAAAGTTATACACTTTCTTGTCATAAATTGGATTTGATGACGATCTTACATTTCTTTTCACAACCATCTTGCACCTGGGATTTTTGTCTACCTTTTTTTTAAATGAACTATACGCTCTTTAGTAACCAAAGCTGCTTTTCCGTTTGCATGGTGAGCAAGACGAACTGAATCATATCCTGTATTCATCAATATGAGAGAGGACTGATGTTTTCCCGTTTCAGCAGAGAAAGTCTCAATCACTATCTTTGAATCAGCAAAGTAGTAACCTGTAATGCACTTGGAGAATGGTGTGTAAATAACTTCATTATACGTTGCGATTTCTTTTAGGCTTGGATTAAACTTCATGACTGTTAATAGATCACCTTCCATGTTGTAGATGAGGAGTTTATAATAGTTGCGAAAGCGTCGTTCTTTGTAAATTATGATTGCTATGGTGTTATTATCAGAGATAGACAAAGATTTCATCTCACTAACGATTGAACTCGGCTTACCTGTTTCCTTCAACACCTCCAGAAAAATATCACCATTTTTATAACATCCACAGACGTTGATATTGCTCTGGTTACCTTCAACAAATCCAACAACAATTTTTTCATCTTGTGTTACAGCCATAAACAGCTTTCGTGCTTCTTTGTTGTCAAGGAACTTCAAAGTAGACTGTTGGAGAATACTATCTTTTGAAAAAACTGTCATTAGATATTTCCAAGTGTTTTTACGTCCATAACCAGAAAGAACATAAACCACACCATAGTTATCAACTGTCATACATCTAACCTGCCAATCATCAATCTCATAATTTTCTTTACTCCACGGTTGAAGCTTTCCTGTTTCACTGTCGACTTTTTGCAGGATGTTTCCAGAAAAGATCACCATTTGCCCTTCGTTGGTAAATGTGATTGCTTTGTCAACGAGTAGATGACGTTCTTCCATGCAAAAATAAGATTCATGCCAAGGTATGGAAACACCTGAAATTCCTTCAACTTCTTTTAAATATAAAGGATGAAACATTTGCTCGCCACATTTTATCAATGGCCAATCAAGAACTGCGTACTTTTTAGATGTGTTTTTGGAAATGAACTCGGCCAAAAATAAATTGATCATTATTATATTATTGACGTTTTTCTCCTTTTGGTCTTGGTCACGTGCTGGTTTTGTATTTGGAAACAGCTTTCTAACCTCGGGCAAAGAATTTAAATTTTTCAAGTATACCATAGAATCACTTTCTGCTGCCTTGCTGTCATTATAATGCCGTAGGGTAGAACTTACGATGCAAATCTTGCATGCTGTTATTTTTTCTTCAACTGTTAAAGATGCATCATGAAACGCATTGTTTGCTTTTTTGTCTGCCTCGATAAACGACTCTTGAGCCAACTTTATTTGCTCGGGTAGTAGTGACTCCGATTCTTCGTTTTCAGTTGACTTGGCAAGGTTCAGGCTTTCTATACCTTTTCTGAAATTATTCATGCTACTGTAAAGATCATTTCTAGATATTGCTTTTGATGTGCTTAATTCGCCTTCGATTTCATCTTGTAATTCCTGTAGCATTTTCCCGCCTATTTTGGAACCTGACATAAGACCCAAAATTTTCGTAATTGAATCCATCGCGTAGAGTTTTCTTCACTGTTGTTTTGTTTTGGCAATCTAAAATAGGTTTCGTAAATACAGGTATTTTAATTGGAAAATTCATCCAGCCAGTGGCAAAACCATCCCGAGTATTTATTCCTGCTATGCTGATTTTTTAGCTAAAAAAATGCTTAACTACTTTTATCCAGTGTTTTTTAGTTACCGAACACAAACTTGTTTGCATGGCAGGAGTTGAAATCGGGCAGGCTTTGTCTCAGACGTGTCGTCGTTTCTTTGATACACACATGCATTGCGTACGAATGTTTCTCTAGAATTTTACTTTGACGTTCAAGCCATGTGCATAACTTCGCTCATTTGTGATGTTTTACGAGTTGATTGCGATAGTTTGTTAGTGAGTACCTCTTTATTTCAAGTATATAATGGTACACAGATAAACGTGAAAAAAGGAAAAGTCAGGGTTAGAGTCTTTTAGACAAATCCTTGTGTTCTTTGTGTCTTGATAAAAATTCCAGTAGTTGTGGCACCTTGAAACCACTTACTAAAAATTGGGCAGAATTCAAAATAGTAATGAATTGTAAAAACGGTATTAGTGGGATTGCAGGTTGTGCCAAAGATGTCGCCCTTTGTAGGTATCGTGTGGGAAATTGGGAAATCAGCGCTGGCCTTGTACTCATTATCTGCACGTGCTCATTCAATAACACAGTTAATTGTCCATTCGGCCACCAGACTATTTATTAAATTATAATGAATGCGTGTTTATTGTGTGATGCAATCAAATGCTTGTCGTCGTTGGGTCGTGAACAACGTATTTTCGTGCTATTAAACGGCTAACAATGCAAACACAAACCTTATTTTCTTGTAATGAACAGCACAAGGTGAAATAAAGAAAAGCATATAATCTTAACAAAAAAGTCTTAAATTTAATACTGGAAGAGGCCAAAGGTCACTGGCCAAAGTTTATAAGTTTTGAGCAAAGAATCGAACAACTTAAGTAGGCACAGACAGGGGGAGAACATTTGTTTAAAAGTTAAGTTAGGTCATCCAAGGTTGAAAATGTACCGACTGCCCCCCTCCCCAGCTAGAAGATGATAGCTGTAACGCCCATGCTTATGCCGGTAGGCTTGGCCTATGAGAGCTCTCAACTATTGATGGCTCTAAGCTCTAGATCTATAACCTTACGTAACAATGGCTACCTAGCTGAATGCACTTACGCCAACAATAAAGCGAAAATAAATGAAAGTACCAATGCAAAATAAATTTGTCAAATGAAAGGAAGACGATTGACTGATTTATATAGCACCAATTGCATGTTCAGAGTTTTTGAGAATTTTTTTGTAAGAAAATTCATTTGTATGTTCACCTCTATATACACGAATTTTTTCAAATTTTTATGGACAATGCTAAATCCATGCTACGTAAATGTTGAAAAATGTGCAATTTAATCATGTTCTAAAGTTTGCAAAGATCTGTAACATAGTGATGAAACATTGCAGCGAATATTTACATGACATAAAGTTGTT